TATTCTCAGCAGTACTTTTGCTCTCTCATTTTTATATTTCCCGAATACTTCCTCCTTTTAAAAGTAATCCATTTCTTTATTGCCCCTTTTTGAGCTCAGGCATGCTGCATGCATTTGAGTGATGAAGATGAGGTGGATTGGAGGTGTTTGGCTTTGTAATTTCATCCTTGAATTTTGTGATTACTAACAGGACAACTTTTTTAATTTGCTCTTTTGTCTCGATTCCCCTGGCTGACAATCTGCTCTGTGAGCTAGGCTTTTTAATCAATCACCTAGATAATCAAATGTCACTGGCTATCTGCTCCGTGTAATTACTTTTGCAATTAAAAATCAACCTCAAGTTGCCTCATCTAATTAGAGGGATGGGCAGATTTTCATCGAGATTGATTTTTTAATAAATATTGACTTAAAATGCCATAATCTCATCATATTCTTTCATTTTCTTTGTACCAAAAATCAAACAAATGGAAGAATTAACAAGCAGAATGATTCATAGGACTTCAAAGGCTTTTGCTAGTTCAGACATACAAAATTGTGCTATACAGAAGCCTAGCTTATCTCAGTCTAATAATGCTCAAAAGCTCCCACCTTTTATTAGAAAAAGAACAAAGCAGTTGCATCATCATGTATTTCGCTTTCTAAATTAGTCTAAACTAAATGAATAAACTCTCAACTATAATTACGTGGCCTGCGTATGACAAAAATATAGCAGAGATTTTGCTGAATTACTCCGTAAATATTCTGAAAACCACTCACTTCAAATAAATCACAATATTGGGATTTTGCTGCCGACACCTACCTAGAGACTGGCCTTTTGTTTTCCTTCCCTAAAGAGGAGTTAATTGAGGATGCCTATTATCGCTCTATCAGTAAGAAAAACACTGCCATGTACTCTGCTGTGCAGCACCAAAACCCACCAATCAACACTAAAAGAAGGTCTACAACAAACAGCCACCAAGAGAAGTGGTAACCTAGAAAGAGCTGAAAGCCTACTTTTGTAGGGAGCAAAGGAAAGTATTTTTGAATCTGTTCAAATATTAATTGTCAGATCTGCAGAGCAGCCTGGAAGGTGTCTCCAAGAATAGATGCTACCTTCTTTCTCTCATTCCTGACATAGACTCATTTGCTGCCTGACCTTGAACACCACACCTTCCTGGATGCAGAGAGGTTCCAGCAGGAGGAATGGCTCTCACACTGCCCATGCTGCGAGAGCTGCAAGCAAAACATACAAGGAAACCCCAGTTCTTGTGAGGGATGGGCCTGCTTCTCTCCCATCCCCCCTGGAAGCTGCAGGACTCGGGCAGACCTTTCCTGTCAGAGGGATGCCCAAGTTTTGCCTGCCTTGTTATCACTATGCTTGCTGTGGCTTCCTGACACCTCTCAGGAATTCATCCATACATTAAGGATACAAAGATACAGATGGCAGTGAGTCAGCCATGAACACAGGAGGAAAAACTGTGCTTATCAACAGCATATGAATATTACATCTTATTTGCTAAAGAACCTCGTTTGTTTAATAGTTACTGAGATAAGCTCTTAATGCATGTACGTACCTCAGCGATCCAGATCTTTACAAAGTAGTTATTACTGCTTTAAGCGACTGAATAAACTCTAGATGTACTATTCTATTCAGATTATAATGAGGGAACAGGATACCATAATTACAGTAGCTGAAGGAGTATGCCATACTTCATACTGCAGCCAGGCTCAGTATACAGCATTTCCACTGGAAACATTAGTAGCTAAAGAGCACTCACAATAACTGTTGAGATACTCATTAACCTCTGATTTGCTACCATAAGACTATATAATTAAGAGGTACTTTCAGCAGACATCCTCTCAAGGTATTTTCCACCAGAGCACGTAGAGGCCTTAGCTACAATACCGCTTCTGAAGTGAAACACTCAGCTCCTTGTTCCACCCTACTGAGGGGGAGCGATCCCAAACCACGAGAACAATAACCATCAGATACCGAGGGGGATCAAGTGGGAGGAGAGAATATAATCCAGGACATTTTAGATTAACTGCCTGAAGTCACTAACGATTAAAGTAGTGCTACCAGTCTGATAACAACATCACAAGCTCTTTATTGTGAATAACAATGCTGTGTTTGTACTGAGCAAAATAGCACTGGCAGCTATGTTGCCAATATATTGCCAATATATTTATTTTTGTTTTGCGGCCAACAACACTAGAAGTAATTCCGTTGGAAAAAATAACTCTACAAACATCCTTAGCTGTGTGATATGAGCTAGAGATACACTGCTGAGCCAGCTCCCTGTCACTGATGGTTCAGTCCCCCACCTCCATTTCCCAGCTCTCCTCACGGGCTCAGCTCTTCGTACGTCCTGCCCAGCACCTGCAGTCTCCCTACTGGTCACTCAACTTCACCCTGCAGAGCCCTGAGAAATAGCTAGATAAGAACTCAGGCAAGGAAATGGGACTTTCAGGAGATCTGCGAGCCATTTGGTTCTGTTTATTTGGGGAAAGGAAAGTAGATACTGATCTGGCTCTTGGCTTTGGTAGCAGATGTGAAAGTCACACGCAAATATCTCTTCTCTCTCCCTCCTGCTAACAGAGCACAAAGGACATCCATATTTCCAAGCACTGCAGCAGGCCAGGGAAATTCCACCCTCTGAAGGGATGGGCTGGTGAGCAGTGCATGCTCCTGATGCAAGAGGATTCCTTATAGGGGCTTCCTCCATTATTTCAGACCTGAAGCCAGTTAGTTCCTGTTTACTTTGTTCCCAAAAAGGAAAATACCACCACTAAAATGCAGCACCACATACAGCCCGTGACTCTGCCATCACTCTTAGGGTAGCACATAAATCTGACCCAAATCCCATACACACCTGAAGTCCTACCAGCAGGCAAAAGAGCAGGAAGGACCTGATCAGAAGAAACATTTCTTAGTAGTCCAGATAACTCATCTTATGGAAACAAGATGAATATCATCCCCCAGAGATGTTACCAAACACCTTCTCCAGTGTATCAATATCCTGTCCTTTCGCACGAGCCTTTGTGTAGAAAAGCTAGGTAACATCAGAAGCATGTGAGAGAGCTAAAGAAGTCCCCTTTCCAGGGCGAGGAAGACTTAGAGGATTGCAGGTCCTATCACTCCTAAAGCCTTAAGCACTGAAACACTCAGAATAGATCTCGCACAGATGGGGACATCCAGCCCTGTCAGATGTGACCGAGTTCACTTTTGAACAGAAAGCACAGCAACACATGGCAAGCCTGCAGGTAAGCAGGCCCACCTTGCAGGTAATTAGGCCAGACAGCAGATAGCTGTGCTACAATTACACATGCCTCTGTCCCAGCACATGTTCCCACACACTGTGCAGGCAAGATTTGCATGCAGTATGCATTTAATATTTTCACACTGAAAGAAAATTCCATGACACCTCTTCAGTGTATAGAATAGAGGATCTACCTGGGTGATTCTTCTAGAATTTGCAAGAAATGCCCAAACTTTTCATTGAAAACAAAACCATTACAGTTGTGAAGTCCCACTTGCACCTCTAACAGTGATGTCCTTGACAAGCTCTAAGCAAGGCACCTTCCTGGTGTGCTGCAGAGCCATTGGGCTCAACGGCTATAAAGGGAATGTTATGTAAAGGACTTAATTTTCTTGCATTTGGTGATAACACTGTAATTTCTCTCAACAAGGCAGCCTTCTAATATAATAAACTTATGGCAAAATAGAAAAGGGAGATTAAGAATTGTTTTACATTCTGTGGTATAAGATTTCTAGTTATATTAGCATTTTGAGGAGGATTTATTTGGAGATTGAGGATTAATTCCCATGAAATCATTATACAAATTTCAAAATGTCAACTACTTTGATAGAGCTTATGATTGTATCTTCTTATTTTGACAGGCAACTGTGTAAAACAACTTCTGTGTGGAAGCAGCACAGAAATAAAGCGAGGACGGGATAAATAAAGACAGAATGATCCTCACAGGTTTCCCAATCAGCTGTCTTTTTATTCTGATTACTTGTAGGACAGAGCAGTAATAGACATTTTCCTTTGCACAAAATAATAAGAGCGGTACTTATCGCTTGTTGCCTACAGCTAGTGGCAAAAGGAAATTAGAAAAGTCCAATGAAGCTGAGTAGTAATTAATCATCATACAGTGGGGCCTGTCAAATCAGAGGGGTCTTTCCAGCTGATAATGCTGCCCACCACAACTCAGACTGATAGAAATTAGAATTCCTTTTCCTCTGGCAAAAACCAAAAAGAGTGGAGTTAGCGCAGTGACTGCCTGACCCATTTATTGGGATGTCTGCATTGAGTTCACCACCAAACAAAATGGATGAAACACCACTCATCCCTCAAGGCAAAAAATATATGGAGAATACCAGTTAGAAGGCCTGTCTGGAAAGAATAAACAGTACTTCAGTGCTGTTTTTTTTTTTTTTTTAAATGCTAGTATTTTAACTTTGGTTAATGGAGAAAGATTTTTTTTTCAAAGCTAACTTCTCCTGTGCACAAGAAGGAAACACAGAACTCACAACAGAAAACCCATACTCTTCTCACACAAAATAAATACAGCAAGAACACCCTATTTCTTTCACAGATAGGCTGTCTCAGCACTCCTGGTGAACAAGGAATAATCAGGAGAATTAGAGCTTACTTCTTCCCAATAAAGCTAAAAGAGATTTGCCACTGACTTCAATAGAAACATTATTAAGCAATGATTAGAGAAGACCTAATTTCATGGCACAAACCACCTTACGCGTGCATTTCCCTGCAGATGGTCCATGCAGAGCCCATGGACCATGAGCAGCACCCAGACACACCCAGATCAACACAAGGCAGCCAAAGCCCTCATGGACATCACACGTGGAAGCACCACATCCCCTACCCTGCTCCTGCTCACAGCAGCCTGGGCCACCATAAGGACCACTGTACCAGAAAGGCCTATTTTGCCTCGCTACCCTACCTATAATCTAGTCTTTTTCTAAGCCTTGTAAAAAAAAAAAAATAACCACTTACCTTTCCTGTGCCCTCTTTGCTTGCTGCTACACCCATCTCCTCCTCACCCAGAGCTATGGAACACCAACAGTTGTGCTCCCAACAAAGCTTACAAAGGTCTGAAAGACACAGCCACTGCCAGCCCCTCCCACTCTAATTAGCCCTGATTGCCCTCACCTGGCATTGCCACCCCAGGTGCCAGGAGCTCTGCATCAGCACGTCTAGCTTCTAAACCCACCTGCTGAAACCAGGAGGATCTGGTGCAAAATAACTACTTTAGAAGGGCCTTTTCAGAGACAGATTGGAGCAGGCCAAGAGCCTCAGCTGAAAGAGAGAAATGTAATTACGATCACCATGTGGAACAAGTGTGCAGAGTCCTGCTGGTATCCTGCTTCTCCATTAAGACCAAAAGAAAGAGGACTAAAGAAAGGCCTTCAGAAATGAAAGGCTGAAGAAAATTAACAGAACTCCTCATTCGTAAAATGATAAGGCTCAAATATTTTTACAGTGGCTCTCAACATCGAACAGCTAAACATTATTAATTAAATACAAAACATGGCTGAGAAGATGACAAGGGCTAATGCAGCATGCTGCTGCAAAAATGCAAGTATAATAAGGTGACAAAAGCCATCAGGCGTTGTTACAGCACCAACACTGTGAGTTACGCTGCTGCAGAAAGAGCAGGGCAAGAAGTTTTACGCACACAAAGAATGGCCCGAATTCTTAGGGTTCACATCTGAATAACATGGCTGTATTTCTTCCTTCAGGGAAGTAAGGGATTCCATATGGTTACAGAAAGTGTGCATGCATGGGTACCTCGCTGACAAACAGTCTTTGTAAATGTAAAGGCTCTATAAATCTGTGTGCATCTCAGCTTTGATGGAGCAGAGAGCAACACGGTATGTGCAGATAAGAACATTAACATCTGAAAAACGCATTGTTTTCCTTTCATCTGAGGTATACCATAGATTCATTAGGAGATCAGCATGCTTGTGCATCTTTCCCCTTCATATTAGAGTGAATGAGCACTATTTCCATACGTCATTAGTGGGAAAATCCCCTGCAGAGGAGCATACTGCATCCTCATTTGCACTGAATAAGTTGCTTTATGATGTAAGACTGTCAGGCACCCCACTCGGTGCAAATGAATGCTCCATCATGACAAAGGGTCAGGTATGACACAGTGCAAAATGCATCAGACTGAGTCACGGCCAATATTAGCTCAATGACTCTTTGATTAGCGTAATCAAATCACATGTCAGCAACTGAAATGTTGCAAAAGGAACAAAAGGTTGTCTTCTGATCACAGAAATTAAACTTATTTATTTCAGATGATAACAGTTGGTGGGTCCATGACTTGGTGAGTAAATGCAACAGGTTCAGCTGTAGTGACAGCAGCACTTCCCTTTCTTCCATCACTGTTAATATGGACCACGTTCCACCATGTGGACAGGACTGATAAAAGAGCTACAAACCCTTGAGAGGCAGAAAGCACATCCAATTGTTTTCTACAGGTTTGCTGCCATAGGAACTACAGACCTGCTAGTATGACCACGTGTAAAATGATCAAAAAAAAGCGTTTTCTCAACGCACTGTTGATTAATCCCATTGATGACCATGTTCTCTTTGAGATTTTGTTTCTTGCTACACAGAAATATTATGGGGTCCTCCTGAGACCTTCCTCAAATTCTGTGCCCTGTATAATAAAGGAAATCAGACTGCAAGGTTTAGAGATACTGTTCTTACTAGAACACGTGTCAAGCAGCCACACAGGATCATCCCCGATAGCACTGAAAACATATAAATCGTAGTGAAAAACATTTATTCTCATATAAAAACAACCTCAACATTAAGGAAGATAAGCAAAGATAGCCATGCCAGAGCTTTTACCTTCCTTAAGGTACCAGAGAATTACGAAGGAAAAAAAGATCAGTGAAATACTGCTATTCTGTAGAGACATCAATCTGAAATATTTGGGTTTCCTAATTAGCACTTTTCATTTGTTAGCGATTCTACACAGCCTGAAGTCCACTACAAAGCTCCTGTTGATTCCACCAGCACCAGATCAAGAGTGCTGTCTGAAATTTAGCCCTGTGAGGAACTGCAGGCCCGTGTATCACAGATGTCGTAATCCTCAGATGTCAGACCTGCCAGCAGACACAACGGGGTTCTCTGTGCTGTATGACCTTCACTCCTTCTGAACTCTGAGCTACTGATTTGGGCTTCAAATAATACAAATTTCCAACACTGAAACAACTAGCTCAGATGTCATTAGTTCCACAAGTCTGGAATAACCACACATAGACTTCCATGTACAAGGCATTAGAGCAAAAAGCTCGCCATACGCAAGATGCAGAAAAAGCCCTCAATCAATAAAAGATGAGAAGACCTCACCCATTATTCATTACATGCACAGATGCTAAAAAAAAATGAAAGGTACAGTATAATGGCTTTATGAAAGAAACAACACAGCATTTCTAGAAAAACTCCAGGTCTTGAGGGGAAAAATATTTAAACAGCCTAAGAATTTAAATCAGGATGCAAGAAGTTATTTAGGCCACCAGAAGATAAACTGCATACAAATAAAGCATATGCACTCTCCCCCTGCTATTTCTAAATTAAGTTTACACTTAAATCCCACCAATTCTAGGGAATGCATTTCCATGGCAGGTTTGCATATAGAAATAGGTACGCTGGACTGATAATACACTATACTCATAAGTTACACAGCGGCTTAGTTGTGAGGCAAAGCAGACTTCATACTGCTCTTGACCATTCTGTCACTATAAGTATTCGTGTATTTAAAATCAAGCACACACTTAAGCATTTTGCTGAACTGGAGCTTTACAGCAACTTAGAATCCAAGTTTGAGTATCGTGAAAGCACATGGCTCCTCTTCCAGAGTTCAGGAGCTTAAAATACTTGCAGTTTAATGCTAAAAAAACTAAATGGAATCCTGCTAGGGAAAAAGATCCCCTCAGCGCTCAGAAAATGTAGTTTGATTGCTGCCTTGTCCTCACATGTCTTCAAGCTCTCTCTATTCCTTTCCCTGCAGAGTCCCATAAAAGGTTTACTGTGGTGGTTACGATGACACAAGCAGGGCAGCAATATATTTTTCTCATAACAAATCCATCCAGAAGAATATCCTCAGCTCATAGATTAAATGGGAGGAGTTGTTACCCTTAATTACTGGCTCCTGATGTTACTGAACCGGGTATTCCAAAATAACTGCTTAAAGCACCTACCAGTACACTATGATATTTCAAAATGCATGCAGAGCAACTTCACAGTTCTGCACCAAGGGTCTGCCTGGGAAGGCTTGTTGGTGAAGGACACACTTGGGAACATCCCAGGGATGACAGCATCCTCAGTGTTCACACACAGTCTGCAGGTTTGCTTCCCACACTGCTTCAAACAGTGTAGCAAGCAGACAAGAGATCCTTATTTGGCACCTCTAGAAGTCATGATCTCATAAATTGTTAGCTGACCTGTTACTGCCTTACATTCATCGTCTCCTGGACTCGCACACAAGTCAGCCACCTCCACATACAACTTTCTTCCAGTTGTTGTCACACTACACTCCACTGGGCACAGCTGGCTAAAAAGAAGAGAAGAAAGTGGAGGAGATGCAAAGAGGCAGAGTGGAAGAAAGGAAAACAAAACACAACCTTTTCTCATTAGGAAACCATATAATGCTAAAGTAGGCAGCATTTGAATGCATACATTTATAATGATCTGGTCTACACGAATAGCATCTTTCCTTCAGGATACCCTTAGCCAGTTCTCTTGCATGTAACTTCACATTTACATATAGATGGAACCTATCTAGAAAGCAATTTTACACATTTTGTCTTAATGTTTTTCTCATTAACATTGCACATAGATTAAGCTTCCTAAGAAGGAAAAGAGATACCTGGGTATCATAGGCACAGTTTTTAGAGACTGTGTTTGCTTTTAAAGAAAAATACGTAATAAAAGATGAAGAAAAAGAGGACCAGTCACAAGTGGATTTTCAAGAGTCAGATAAAAAAATTTTATAGAAATTGCTGTGGTGCCCTGAACACAACCACGTCCTTAATTACCTCCTCTGGTTGGAAGTAATGACGATACAAAAAAGCAGCAAAATTTCTAGTAACACAAACTTCCCTCACAGGGCTCAGTACTTCAGTAAGGATCATTGCTCTGAATCACTCAGAGCACTTAATTGTGTGCTGAAGTTTGGGCTCACAGATAAGCACATGCAGAGTCAAATAAGGCTCAGCACCGTGCTGAAATGCTCAGCATCCAACAGGATTAAGCCTGCACTGCTGAAATCTACATTTTCTTCATGTCTTATTTGCAGACAGGGTGTAGGATTCAAATTAGAGGGAGGATTAGGAGGGAAAAAAAAAAAAAAAAAAGAGTCCTCATGATAGCAGGGCCAGGCTAAGCAAACATTTCATGTACACACCAGAGGAAAGATGAAAGGAAAGCAGCTGCCCTTCCACGGTCAGAAATTCTTATCTGCTGACCGAACCTTTGTTGGTTTGAGAAAGCACAAGTGGTCTGCATTGGCGGAAGGTTCAAAGCAATTTTTTAATAGATAATGCAATCAAAAGTCTGTCTATCTGTTGAAATATTTAGAAGAACAAGATATCACTTTGACCTCCTTACACCTGCGACCTCTGTCAAAGACTTTAAGAAGTGCTTTACACTTGTTTATATTCTTTATCTTTAATGGGCTTCTGCATTTTTCAAAGATTAGCATTTTCTGAAGTCCTTTGAGTAAAAAATATATTCTGTCATTTTTAGCAGTACTTCTATATTGTGTTCAAGGAAGGAGTTGCACAGGCAGGTACACTACCAGCGTGAAAACCAATGGCCGCCACAGGTCAGCTGTGGTTGTTGTAGAGGAACGTGCCTTTCTGGTCTGCAATAACAACATTAAAACAAACTAAGTAAGGAATAAGAGGATAAGGGAAAATGTTCTACACCATTAGGTGTGAAGTTGAAAATGGAAAATAGTATGTTTCTATGTGTAATTAACTGTCGCAATATTTAGATCTTCAAAAGAATACTACAAAAGCAAACAGGAACTCCAATAAAAAAATTGCCCGTATCAATTGTAACATTTTGGCCAAATTATACAAAACAGAATCTTGCAAGAACACAGGAAGAAAAAAAAAAGAAATGGGATGAGTATCTGCAATGTAGACTTTTACTAGGGAAATCAGTTAGTAGAATAGTCAGCTGCCATCTCTTATAATTACAATATTGGGAAAGATCTAGGAAAAGTAAACTCAGTTGGCTGGTTCACCACTTCATTTCC